TTATATTGTTCTCTTTAGTTTTGAGATAAAACGATTTAAAAAATTAAAACTTTATGAGACGGCATATAAATTTTCTTTTATAACTTATGTTTTTTCCGCAACTTATTACTTATAACTAAGGTTTTAATTCAGTAGAAAGACATTATTTTGAGGAACACAACACTATCATTAACTCAATTTTTCAGAGTTTTTTGGTGTATTAAAAAACATTGTAATTTTGTTTACAATTTATTGTATCTGTATTGCAATCAGAAAGTATAACTTGATCATAATTCTTTAACAATTCCGCAGTCATTTTTACATGGCAAACAGTGCGAGTAATTTAAAATGGAACTGATTAAGTTGTCACAAACTAATGATCTTACGAAGATCAGTAACATAATAGCTAAATATCCTTGAAAAATCTAAGCTGATTCTGCTTATCATATGATTGAAGCCCCTTCTACGCAACTTTCTGCAGCTTAAAAAAACACTGGATTATTAAGTTGTAGTAGCTTTTGCAAAGTAGGACAATATTGGAACCAACTTCAATTTTTCTTAAAACGATGCCAAGTTCAAGGCTTTACTGAACTTTATTAAATAATTAATTGTAGCTGCTACCAATTCAAACATTTCTGCAATAGATTAACAAGTTGAACAAATGCAGTGGGAAGAGTCTTTAAGATGAAATAACATCTGTTACACCGAACACAAATGATTAGGTCCTATGGTCCTATGGAAAGCAACTTTCATACCAGTGATAGACAAATCATACTTTATGGATGTTTGAGAGAAAGACACACACAGAGATGTCCCGAAATTTTTTTACGGCGCCAAGACTATACAGTTTTAATTTACAGTGCTAACTCAAAACCATTAGAATTCTAACATCTAAAACTCTTACTTGAAAATGTAACAATAAGTGTTGAGATGCAAATGTATTTTGTGCTAACCAAATTTAAAGGAATAATTATTAGATGAGTTTTAAACATCCTCAGCAGAACACGGTCGGTTGGTCACGTCAGCCAGAAATGTCTTACTACTATCAAGATTCAAAAATTATATGAGGGACAATATCTGTTTTAAGCACAATACTATTGCCTCCATTCCATGATGAAAAGTCATAATAGTCAATCGATGATGCTTTCGTGTTAAAGAGGAGATTAAGAGGAGCTGATAAAATGTTGAAAAAACAGGGAGTTACTTCTTTTAGAAATTTATAGGAGAAATATCCAAATCTAATTTATATGTTGCATTTCTTTTCATATACTATATCTATGTTTGAACAAACCAAACGTAAATTGTTCCTTACCCTATCTAAATCCTCTACAGAAAACATTTGTAAACAAAACACTGAAAAAATATCTAACTTTATGCACTGAGATCAGTCTATATCAATAACTACAAATATACAAAAAAAATAATAGACTGTCATCGTGTAATTAGTAATAGTGAATTGCAAGGTTAACCTCAAAGAGTAAAAGGATCCTTTAGGCTGTAATATCAAGAATAAGGAATTAATATGATTATTAGATGAAGACAAAACATTTTTAACAACTATGAGCTTCATACAGTGAATATTTGGCTTGTGGTGTATTTCACTCCAATTGTATGAGTTGTTTTAAAAAGGATGCTGTTAATTTATTATAATATGTGTTCCAATTTTCATGCTGTGCTTTGATGGTGGTCATTTACGACAACGTTATTTCATTAAATATGATGTGTGTTATGTATGTTTAGTCCTAGAAAGAAATTTTCTACTCCCTAATAGAAATGCTTGAAACTATGTTTACTCAAGTGTAAAGCCTTTATATTTAAGAAACTATAAAACAAATAATAGTCAATTAAGCGTGTATTATTTAGCATATTTATGTGATCTTTTTAAAAAAGAAAAGCAAAAATTATTTTTCATTACTTTAATATATATATATATATATATATATATATATATATATATATATATATATATATATATATATATATATATATATATATATATATATATATATATATATATATATATATATATATATATATATATATATATATATATATATATATATATATATATATATATATATATATATGTATATATATATTAGGGTTATGAAGTATTTATACAGTTATGAAAATAACGTAGATTTGACCTTCTTTTTGAAAAAAATGCCCAACAAATCAAAATTTACCATATATTTCAGCATTTAACAGTTTATTATTACATTATAAAGATCTAAGCTTAACTAAGATCATACATTTCTTATTTCTTCGAAATTGAAAAAAAAATAAGTTGGTGGTTCTCTTACTCTTTACACATGTCAAAGATGTTGTGAAGAAACTTCATCACTTCTTCTGCACACTGATTTATACTTGGAATCTTCAGTCTCAAATGTTATTAACTCCAAAACATTAAGTCAGTCTCAATTGTTACTAACTCCAAAACTTTAACTTAAGTTAAACGCTTTTTCGCGAGCGAGCAAGCTTCTTTATAGCTCCCGAAAATCATATGCTTGTTTATTTGGCCAGTAAAACTACAGTTTGCCGATCTGTAAAAAATAAATCTAGAAATGTTGAGTAGTTAGCCTTTTCCTTTAAGATAAGGAATGACAAAATAGTTGGGATTGAGGATATGAGATGAGAAATAAATGACAAAATAGCTAGGAGTATTTAAAAATAAAACTTTTGAAATACTTCGGGTTCTGCAAAATATTAAAATGCCTAAATTAGAAAGTTTATACTATCACGTTAAGCTGGTCTTTCATTGATTATTTATTTATCATTCATAAAAATCATCCTTAGTTGTTTGTAACTCTTTAAAAGTTCCATGATAAACGGATTTTCAATATTAGGCAACATGTTGGTTTCTCCAAGTTTTTTATCCATTTCTACGCTAAGAGCTCAGTCAAGATAATGATGTTTACGACCAATCACTTGTGGTCTCCCAGTTTCTTTTAAGTTAAACGTCTTTGTAATTGACTGACAATCCCTTTCCTTCTTTCTGTATCTATGTCTGTAGTGTCCGCTACAATTATTTCTTTCAAAAATTGTATTAACAGACAATAGGCCTTTAACAAAAGTGCCTACTTTTGCATCAAGTAGATTTAGTGCTTGCTACTTGATCACTCTTTGTTTGTTCTTTAACACTAACACTTGATATTCTTGGTTATTAAAATGTTTGCCATCAAAGTGCAAAAACTTTATAGCTTATTTAGTAGTTGATCTGAATATATGATATTGTAAAGGTGTCTGAGAGTGAATCCCATCTTCAGATATCTGTCAACGAATGGTTGCTACTTTTCTTCTGATAAGGTGTTATTGATTTTGTTGCAGTTTTGATTTTGATGAAGTTCTTGCTGGTGTTTGTGGAGTGTTCTTCTGAATTTTGAGACTTATAAAATTCTGCCTCCGATTTGAAAGCTGATTTTCTGACTCGGATTCGAAAGTGTTGACGTTGTTTTTATTATTGATGATAAAGTAGGGTTTGATCACATTTTTTTTCTTTTACATAACTCGATAGCATTTGAACTAGCAGTCTTTCCAAATGAGTACTCGACCTATCCTAAGCTTTCAATCTTGAAGATGATACAATCATTTGTTCTCACTGCACAATCATTTACTATCTTTGTTTGTAAGGTCAAAAAAAAAAAAAAAAAAATTCAATCGTTGGTATTTTCTAAATTTTACACATTTATCGTACGTCTGCAACACTTGATCCAGTTTTGCCTCCTCGAGTTTAATTGATAAATACGGAAAAATTAAATTCTTTTACCATATAATCAATACATCTTACTCAGTTGGCTTTATGCGTTCTTGTCTTCTTGCGATGAGTTCCCTTACAAACAGATAATGACCAACAGTTAACAATTTGAGTAGTAATTAGCTGTTAACTTTTAGTGATTGTTTTTCAGGTGAAATAGTTCTTCTTTTCTTACGTTACTCAAAAAAATCGCTCAAGGTTCTTTATCAAAATTGCCTTTTTGTTTCAGTAGTGGAAGCACTTTTCTTATAGAATATTAGGATTGAAGATGTCACTTGAATAAATTTCTAATATTCAAGTATTTTACTTCTATATAGTTTGACTTTTATCTAACGAATTAAGATTTATATACAATTTGTAACGTTGCTCAATAAAACAGCTTATAAAGTGTAAATCTTCCTAATTTATACAAACATCATAAAATTCAGGAAGTTTTAGATCAAGAGATATTTAAAAACATCCAGAACAATACAGAAAAATCTGAAAAGTTCAATAAAAATCAAGTCTTTAATATTTCATAACGCTGGTGCCTGCAAATTCTACTTATATGACATTTTTTGAATTTCGTGTTGTAAGTTTTTTGAAAATTTATCTTATCATTACATTTGAGCTAAAGTCAACTAACATAAAATTAATTATTTTACAAAAGTTTAAAAAGCAAAATGTATATGTATATATATATATATATATATATAGTATTATATATATATATATATATATATATATATATATACTATATATATATATAGTATATATATATATATATATATATATATATATATTATATATATAATATATTATAATATATTATATGTATAATATATATATATATATATTATATATATATATATATATTATATATATATATATAATATATATATTTAATTATGTATGTATATATATATATATATATATATACATATATATATATATATATATAATATATATAGTATATATATATATTATATATATATATATATATATATATATATTTATATATATATATATATAAAATATATATATATATATAAAATACATATATATATATATAATATATATATAATATATATATATATTATATATATATATTAATATATATAATATATATACATATATATATATGTTCTTTATAAAAAAGTAGTAACAAAACAAAAATTTAGTAATTAATAAACAACGAGCTATTAAAAGCATTTCTAAAACATTTTAATTCAAATTAGAAAATTAGGAAAAAAAAATGAATGATAAATAAAAAAAGTTATTATCATAC